CCGGGTCCGCCCTCTGTGGCTCTGGTGCTCTTGCATCCCGATTCTGTCGGTCAGCGGTGGCGGTGGCGCCACCCACTCCATCGTGGTCCACATGTGCCGGCGCACTGCCGGGATGTGGGATGCTCAGTGGGTGCCCCCGTCGTCCGTGGCAGCGCTGCATTCCGGGGGCCCACCTTCCACGGCGAGGTGTTCCCCCCCAGGAGGCGCGTCCGACGCTGCCGCGCTCCAGCTCAGACCGCATCGGCGAGGTTCTGCCGCCCCCCCATCGATGGCAGATGATGACGTCCCAGAGGGGAATCGAGAGGCGGTAGTGGATGGGAGCCTTAGAGAGGGCCATGAGGAGGCTAATCTGCCCACAGATGCTGCGCTGTCCACCCACCATGGGGACGGGCGCCTGTGCCGCCCCACGCAGTGGCGGGTCTCTCCCCCGAGAGTCCGCCAGCTGTCGAGGGTTGTGGCGACCTTACACATGTGACACTGCGGCTTTTGGCTGCCCCCCCTCCTCCTGTGTGATTACTAATGTGTCATTGCGGCTGTTGGCTGCGCCTCCCCTTCTCCTCCTCCTCCTTCTCCTAACCGACACGTGTGTACATGGCGGCTGTTGGCTGCGCCCCCCCTCTCCACCCCGTGGTCAGATTCAGCCAGCTGCGTTCCAGCGCTCCATGAGGTGGTCGCGGCAGCTGCGAATCTCGGCGACTTTCGTGACCGGTACCTGCGGTTGCAGTATGCCGTCCCTTGGGTCAGCGTGTCCTCTCTCGTCGTTGCTGCCCCGACCAGTCACTGGTTTCGGATGCGATGACGACGCACCGGCCCCCCCCCGGGCAGCAGTGCGGTCCGCGGAGTGAGTGCTCTGTTGGTACTTGCCGTCCCCGGGTCTCTCTGTGGTCAGATTCAGCCCTGACTACACCCCAGCGCCTATGAGCTGGCCGCGGCTGCAGCGTACCTCGGCGACCTTCGGCCGTTACCCGCTTGGCGGCAATGCTGGCGCTTGTGCCTGCGTGTCCTCTTCCATCGTTGCTTCCTGGCCTGTGACTGGTTTCGGAGACGATGGCTGACGCACCGGCCCCACCACGGGCAGCGATATGGATCGTGGAGTGAGAGCTCTGTAGGTTCCTGCCCTTCCTCTGCCCAGCCGACCCCGCGTGCGGCGGTGGTACCTCGCACTGAGTGGTTCAGCCTTCAGCGTGTCGCTTCGGTACTACCTGCCTTCCCCACCAGCGTCCCCACCAGTTTGCCCGTGACTGGCTTCGGAACGATGGCTGACGCACCGGCCCCACCATGGGCAGCGGTGTGGATCGTGGAGTGAGAGCTCTGTAGGTCCCTGCCCTGTCTTTGCCGACCCCGCGTACGGCGGTGGTACCTCGCACTGAGTGGTTCAGCCTTCAGCGTGTCGCTCCGGTGCCACTTGTCTTATCGGCTAGGCTGGCTGCGCGGACTGGCGCCGACAGGGCGACTCTTCCGCAGCGTATAGTCGGGCATTTTGCTGATTGCATGTGCATGTTCGCTTTCTTGCGGATTTTGACTGCAGGTGCATTGCCTGTTGTAACTAATTAGCCTCGCCTGCTGGCCCAGACGACGCCTACTGCTCCCTGTCCGCCGCCTCGGAGCCGCCGATCAAAAAAGTATCCCCACCAGCCCGTCCAGAAATGAGCCCCAGGGGAGTGGAGGTGATGAGGGAAGCGGGGGAGCATGCAAAATAACGAATGGCGGGGTAAGCCGCCATATACCCCAAGAGGGGGAGGATGTAGGAGGAATCGTCGTCGTCGGAGTAGGAGGAGGATGAGGAGGAGCAGGAGGAGGAACAGGAGGATGAGGGGGAGGAGGAGGAGGAGGAGGAGGCGGAGGAGGAGGAGGAAGAAAATGATGATGAGGAGGAGATG